GGGGGGGGGGGGTATTTTTTCTGTTGTAAGTGTTTCACGCACCCATCGTCGACACAGTTGACATCATTTAGGAAAGCACCCGCCAACCACCCACAGGCTTGGACCTATCGGCGCAAACTCGGGACAAGAGGGATACAACATCACAGCAGAAACACTAGAATCATTATCATCATAAAGTACCAATTCTAAAACAGACATCGGCGATCATGGTTCTCAATTCATTTACCCGTACGGGCGCTCTCTAAGACTACACATTATTCTGATGCTTCCCCTTCACCCATCTGTTCATCTTTTCCAAACAAGTTTCCCTGAGTCTATCCCTGCCTCGTTTGCCTTTTGTTTTCCTCGTGAGAGTTAGATGTTGAAGCGTCATAGAAAAAGCATTTCACGTTTCCTAATGTAATTGTTCTCATTAGTTTTGATACAGCGAGACATTCTCAAAAGTCTCTTGAGAAACCATATTTCTGTTGCTTGAATTCTAATTTCATTATCTTTGGTAAGTGTCCAGTTTTAAAAGCCGTATAGAAGAGTTGACCCCACACAGCCTTTTAGAATTCTTATTTAGCAGTCACTGAGATGTTTTTATTTTATAGGATTTGACTCTGGGGTTGTTGTTTTTTATTAAAGGTGTCTTTAGCTATTTCAATTCTTGGTTTAATTCCGGATATAATTATATCCATCTTAGATATTTAAACTGCTGAACTAGTTTAATCTTTACACCTTTGCTTTTGAGATTACAACTAGGTTCCCTGCTTCTTTGTTTTATTGTGGTAAAATTCAGCATTTTCCTTCACTTTCCGTCACAACAGTATCTGGAAGCACTCAATCGATGTCCTTTTCTGATTCTGGAATTAAAACAGCGTCGTCGACATTATATCTGATGTCAATATTTACTTACTTCACTTTGAGACTTGGATTTTCAAAATTTTCAATTTTTTTTCGGGGGGGGGGGGCATATTTCTCTGGATTTTTTATATGTTAAAGAGGTTTGGTGATATAACACATCCCTGCCAAACACCTCTTTTTATCTGCTCATATTCCCTAATATTTTATCAGCAGCGTTTTGGGCCCAGTGCAAGTTCCTAATAATCCTAGACATTTTCAATCTATGTCAAATATTTCAAATAGATCAACATGCCTAGCTTTATCAGAAGCCTTTGAATAGTGAATGGGGCATTAAAAGTACAGATCTCTCTGTGCTTAAATACATCTTTCTATTAACAACATTGTTAACATTTTAGGTACCTGCTTGTTGCTGTTTCTCCTTTTTTCAAAGTAGATGTTTTTGCGCG